TACGCGGAGCAATCTGTGGAGCTGGAAGCTGAGAACTGGCGACTTTGTAGTGCAACTTGAGTACGCGGAGCAATCTGGGAGCTGGAAGCTGAGAACTGGCGACTTTGTAGTACAACTTTAGTACGCGGAGCAAGCCGTGGAGCTGGAAGCTGAGAACTGGCGACTTTGTAGTACAACTTTAGTACGCGGCTGAGTCATCTCTAGTATTTTGCAAAAATGCATGAACAACGTTTTTTCCTGCGAGACAGTTGCCGGTGGTTGCTTCGCTTTCACTCCATTGGTCGGTTCCAACTTGTTTTGTCAAAAAACATCGCAGCTCGGCGAATCAGCCTGCCACCGGCTTGCCCGGGAACTACTTGTAGAATTTGGGAAACTTACATGATCTGGATAGCTTTTGCACCTGACATGTTTCTTGATCTGGCGAGCATAGGCGTTGTAGACTATCATGCTATTGTCAGGAGTAATTGTCACAAGTACAAAACATCTTCCTGGAAAGCGAGGTCCTGGTTAGAGCATCCCCGTATCTCTACCACCCAAAAAAACACACAACTTTGCAAGGCTTTCCTCCTGCCCATAACATCTCCAAGAGTGGGGTTGCTTCTCGGTGCTTCCACCGGCGCAGGCACGCAGCTCCTCCCACTGCCAGCCAGACTCGGTCTCTGGCAAGGGCCTCTAGAGAGGCAAGATTCACAGGGTCTACGGCGAGTCAACGAGTGCTAAGCAATCTTTCTAATCTTGCTCCTAGTAGCGTCCGATCGCTCCGGTAGTAATGCCAGGAGCCCCTAGTAGCGTCCGATCGCTCCTAGTAGCGATGCCCTTTGTTCCTAGTAGCGTCCTTGTTCCTACATCAAGTGCTTTGCGTGTCAGCAAAGATCAAAAATGGCTGTGGCAGTATGGCCATGTGTGGCTTTTTGTCTTCCCACCAAATGTGTTGCAAAGATCAGGTTGCACCAACAATTCCAGCAACCATCAGGGCAACCATCAGGCCTGTCGTATTGAATATTTGGGACATCAGTAGTATCCAGTTTGGTCTGTTTTGATCTGTATTGAGACCTCTCGGAGTAGATGTCAACCGTAGGGGATGGACACCCTTCCAAGGTGAGGGCCATCTACTCTGCAGGGAAGGCGGAAGGCAACAAACAAATATCGAATGAAAAAAGACACAAATGTGAGACTCAAAGCATTGGTGTCCCGGCAATTCCCAAGCTTCGTAGCTTCCAGCCAGATACAAGGCCTCCGCGGGTGAAGGATTTCTAGGGGCTCAAAAACAGTGAACAATACACTCAAGCACTCAAGCCCACGAAAGGACTGATGGTTTCTCAGGTGGGTTGCTGGAGTGCGCAGTGCCAAGCTAAATGAAACTCTTGAATGTCTCAAAGTAAAAGGAGCTCTTCATACATAACTAATACGAAACAACATAGACATCTTGTGTTACCACAAAGCTTCCAAGACCAAAGATAGCCTGTGAAGGCCCTCCAAAAATTAAATATGTTTTCAGGTAATAGGTCTTTGAGTGTTGCAGGCAGTGATCATTGCTCGGAGATTTCCACCACGAGATGGCACTCTTTGGCAGAAAATGCAGGCCCTAGCCCTAGCCCTGTGGATAGTTTTGGATCTTATACCCTGCAACTAAAAAGATGTGAACTACTGCGTTGTAGGTTGAAGCCACAACAAAATGGACATACTTTGAAGCTCCCCAGTGTTGGCCACTTTGACCTTGACTGGAGAATGAAGGTTGTAGGAAATGGAGATTATGAACCCAACATGTTGTTTCCTGGAGATCTTTCAAAAATACATAAGTTAAATAATATATATACAGTATATACTTCTAAGGGATGACGTCTCACATCATATGTCTGCTCTTCTTCCAGGCAATCAACCTCAGGCAATTGCTCCACCGCTGCGAACAATCCAACAAAATGAATTGCAGCTTCGGCCCGCACCGCAAAGATCTTCGCAGAAAACATCTCTCGGGGCTCAGGAAGAAAGACCTGGATCATGCCATCCAGGGGGTCAGGAGTCTCCATGTAAGTTGGTTTACAGTAGAATACCCTGCAGATCCCAGCAGGAGATAAGGCATGGATGATGTTCACATTCCACAGTCACGCTCGTTCGATCTACTATGACGCTTTCAGTACAGTTGCCACCACCGGCCATCCGGACAAAGATTACCTGAGGAGAAAGAACATGAAGAAACAAATGTCCAATTGTCAGTGTCACCCTGTCAATTGACAAAAACTACAAGAGGAAAACACAACCATACCAAATGTGCATTATTCATTATTCCCTGAAGGATGGTTGAAAGTTTCACGACATGAAACCACTCGCGTCATCATGTTTTTTTGGGGGCTCGCCCTGCAACTTTAGTTGCTGCATTTGTTTTCACAGATGAAGTGTATGGATGATCCAAGATCCTGTTGAAGGTCGGTCTGAGGTGCTCGTTGCATGATCCCAACCATGTCATTCTTTGGTTCTCCCAAACCTGTCATCAAGTCTTTAGTCAGGCGAAACATGGCTCGTCATTATGTGTTTGAACACCCGCTGAGGGTGGGCCATTTTGAGACTGGCCCGCCCATGCTAAAACATGTGTTCAAGGATATGTTTGTCCATGTCCACATTCAGTCTAGCTGGAGGAAACCACCATGCGCCCTTTTCAGCTGCGTGAAGGGTAAGGGTCATTTCGCCTCCAACTTGTCCTGCATCCAACAGACCAAAAGTTCCAAAACGGCATGAATCCATGATGCATATTTGCCGATGCAACCAATCAAAATTCAAAAGCATCGCAACAAACCTTGCACTGCTGTGAAAAACAGAGTTCAAAGAACGTGCCTGCGTCTTAGATTGAAAATCGCTGCGCGCATGTCGATTGTGGAGCTGGCTGGACTTCTCGCCCCAGGCCCGGTTCACCATGACTCCACGTTTCACCGCGGCGCGGTCTCCAATGCGCTTGGACCAGGCGCAAAGATGTTTGTACTCCTATCATTCGTTGGCCCACACGGGCGCGCAAGGTCAATGCATTGGGTTTCCACCCACTGAAGCTGGGAATGTTTACATATACACACATTCACCCGCTTCAACACATGTTTATGTACAATCAATACACCAGTGCGTATGTGCGCAATTCATGTAAATACGCCTTTCCACGCATCATCTCGATGCAAAACGCGGTGGGACAGCGGCGATCAGTTTTTCGTTGCAGGTGCAGGGCTTTGGTTTCGTCCTTCGTGGAGTGGAGGATAATTCATGTTAGAATTCCAGAAACCCTCCGAGGAGCATCAGTAGCTCTTCAAAGCATCCAAGACGCATCCAAGACGCATCCATTGCCAGGTCAGTGAACATGAAAGGTAGCTAACAGTTAGTTGAGGCGTGAATTCTTCTTTGGCAATCTTCCAAGGCGTTCGTCTTTGCAGCGCAGGTCGGCAAGGCCTTCAAGGCATGAAACGGACAGCGCCGTTGAGCCCGCCCTCAGCCCGCCTTCAGTCCGAGATTGCGACCTCCATTGGTGATGGTATGACAGGGCGCTCCATGAACAGCGGTTTTGGGGCGACGCCCTTGCGCTCTTTGGGCGACGCTGCCCGCTGGCTTGCATCAACTTCAAGTTCAAGAGCGTTCGTCCAAGTGTCTACATGCGACAGAGGAAATCACTGTGCTGAAATCTGCACTCCCTACAAACACGAACGGAGAAACGCCTTGTGAGGCTGAAGCTTGCATGGATCTGAAAGATTCAGCAGAGTTCTCCTTTAAGGCTACAAGGCGGAGACTACACAGGCATGGGTCTAGTCTTTGGAGAAACTAGGCGTAAGGCAACGCTGCTAAACCGCACGCTGCCTTGTCGTAGACCGGGCAGAATCTGAATGTGCACAAATAGCACGGCTAGAGCGCAGACTTTCTCACATTCACATTGCAGTGCCATAGTTGCGAGCTGTACTTTAGGGTGCTTCTGCCCACACGCCAGCAGCGATCAAACAACCTGGCATTCTTTAGTCATGGCACGACAAGGATGAGCTCGTGCTTGAGCATGAATGCATTTTTTTGAGTATGTTTCAGTATACTTTGTTCAACGTCCTCCTTTTATTTCAGGGTATATGATGATGATACGACGATGTATACTTTTGACTGACTATCATAAAATACTCCGGGTTCGTGGATTTTGTGTGCAGTCTACAGGGAGACCCTCCGGAGACCCTCCAAACCTGGGACTATGAGTAGATGATTCCACAGGCCCCGGCCGTCTGGCACTGTCCTTCACTTGCAGAAACTCTTGGGCTTCGCCATAGATGATGCCATCAACAAAGCCTGCGATCCAGGGGAAAATCGCCATGTCGGCAATGGTATACTGGTCTCCACACACGTACTTCTTGTTTCCTGGCAGGGGCACATTGCATGTGGAAGAAGGAAAAGCACGGAGGGACTCTATCGCAAAATGCATCATCAACATGAGGGCCCAGCGGGTAATGCTGAGGATTCACAGCATCGGGGCTTCAACAGTTCAATGTCGCCTTCTCCTAGGTGCTTGTCCAGTACATCAAAAAGCCTCTTAGTCTCCATGGCATACCGGTTGATCGCATATTCGATCTTCACTGGTGCGTAGTGGTAGAAGTGTCCAAAGCCTCCTCCGAGAAAGGGCGCGGTGCCCATCTGCCACATGAGCCAGTTTTGACACTCTGCACGGGCGGGATATTCCTGAAGCGAATCAAGCGCTGTTTAGCAGTTGTTGGGGCTTGAAGCTGCCTCATATTCTGATCTACATCACTCCGGCGAAAATAGATAAAGTATGACAAGGACAAGGTTTAAAGTATTAGCAAAAATGTATGAAGTCCTAGAGGAAAAGGAATTGGGAACCTCCGCCTTAGGAAAGAAGCGCCCTTCTTTGTCGAACTTGTCGGCCAAGTAGAGCAAAATGGAGCCTGACTCCTTGGACGGTGACGATGAAGACGTTATTAAACCATGTTGCAAGTCAAATCAGTTTTGTTCTCCCCGTTTTCCTGCAGGAAAGAAGCCATGGCTGTCTCGTTTGAAGCCATGGCTCGAAGACCCGGACCGGCTTCGACGAGTCGGTGTAGTCCATCATCGCAGGGATCTTGGAATTGGGGTTTGCCGCGTGAAAGCCAGAGGTGAACTGCGCCTAGGCGCAGGGATCGCGCACAAAGGACTGCAGGTGAAGGTGAGACCAGCATCATCAATTCTCATGTTTATACTATTTTACAGCTTGCAAACATGGGGTGTGCCAATAAGACGCCTGTGCTCAGCATTATAGGATCACAATTTGGGTCACGCCTCCACACTCCATGCATGCGAGGTGCACCGTTAATGGGAATAAACCAGGCGTCATACTCGAAGTTCGGCAACGCGTCTACAAGCTCCTCCAAATCGGCTCATTTCACTTGGTGTAAAGCATCTACATGCTGCGTATGGATTTCAAACGATGTCAATTTCTACTAGTAGCAAGAACGCTACTAGGGGCAGTAGCAAGGACGCGACTAGGGGCTCCTGAGTCCTGGCATCACTACTAGGAACAAGAACGCTACTAGGGGCTCCTGGCCTTACCACTAGGAACAAGAATGCTACTAGGGGCTCCTGGCCTTACTACTAGGAGCAAGGACGCTACCT